AGCCTGTTATAAGGCAATAATGTTTTCAAATATCTAACTTGCTGAAAGTTGATCACCTGATCACCTGATCACCTGCCCATAAACCTTTAACTTCGCGTTAACTTTAACTTTAACTTTGCTAAAGCCAATTTTTATATAACTTACCTGTGTTTGTTTCATTATATTTCACTTTGATGTAAGTTGCCCTAAATCCACGGTACCGCCGGTAAGTACCACTATCAGAAACAAAGGTCACCGTCAGGACATCTTTTACCGAATGGTATACTATTCCACGGTCTTTATAGTATCTACATCTTCGCCTGCTTGAAATGCCATCGGAGGATGAGCCATTTTGTATTTTCAGGTAGCCACACGTGCAAGATGAACCACAGCTCTCCATATGAATGTCTTCAATGAACAGCAAAATGCGTTCTCCTTTACTTGCTATAATTTTCCAGCTGCATTTCACGTTCGAAGGGCAACGCCTTGGATAGTAAGGACTGGTAAGAATTCCTGATGTCTCATTCAGGGTTGCCATATTGGGACAGACTGCATGCAATATAGATGGACCGAGCGTAAGTAGAAAGAAGGAATTAGATCAAAACCAAATGCGGAAAGGAAGGAGTTAATAATTTTGGGATGCGCAGAACCTTTTTTTGGTTTGTGTATGAAATAACGTTTTTAAATTATCGAGATTATGCTGTGAACAAGTCACAGACAATAGGCCCTGCAGCTAGCCATTTACGTGGTACAAAACCGCCCTGCTGGAGATCACTGGGACATGTCAAACAAACGGCATTCATGAATTTTAAATGGTAATTTCCTTTGTTTGTCTTGTCCCAGTGCGACTTTTGCTCTCCAGCACTGGGGTTTTGTACCACGTGAATGGCAAGCTGCAAAAGGGCCTATTGACTGCATTCTTACGATGTTTTTAAGAGTCTGTTCCGTGACTGAAACGAATATTTTAGAGGGCATTAGGCGCCTGCGTTTACTCTGCATAAAAAAATTGTTCTGTAGTTTAGGATGTCTTTCTTTGTTATGAAAACCCATGTGAAGAATAGCTACATTAGGAAAATTCACAAACAAAGCAACATTAATTATGATCGTTATTACTTTTAAAATTATTATTATTTCTTTGGTAAAAAAATCCTCGTGGACCCAGGGGCGGTCAGTTGAGTCAAAACCAAAAAGGAACCGCGGGAAAAGTGTTCAAGGTCGGGCGAGAGAGCCCCTGGGATGCTACCCTTGACGAACCAGTGTTAGGTCTTATTCGAATGTAAGTAAGTAAGTAACAACTTTATTTAATGAGGGTAACACATGACAGTAAAAACTAATGAACTAGTAGCCCTCGATCGTAATTAAAATATTTAGAACTAATAGAATAAACACGACAGATGACAGTAAAACTGATGAACTAGTGGCCCTCAGTCTGTGATTTGGCACAAAAAATATTTTTGTGCCCAGCAAGAGGCCAGTATTTATCGCGTTGCTTTCGAGATCTTCTTATACGACGAAGTTTACCCGCAAACTCGACTGTTCGCGTACATGTTTGGCTCTTGCAGGAGAGATTTCTTTGGCGAAAATGGAGCCCCAAAAAACAAAGAAAGTCTATAATTTTCCGATTCCAGAAAAAATACTAACCTGCTGATCGCAAGTTAGAAAAAAAACCGAACGTTGCATGGAAGTGAGCCTTTTGCCCTTGCGGCAAATTTAAAATAACTAACACGGTGGTCGATCAAGTCGATGGTATTCCAGGCGACGTTCCTGGTGCTGGCTTTAGTGAAGAAGAGATAGAAAAATGTTCAAATTTTTGGTTAAAATGCCCCCGTATAAATTAAAATGGTAATAAGAAGGGACTGTTAAAAAAGCTAGTATACATCATCCGGCTTTACGCGATCGATCAGCTATTTATGCTGTTCTCTCCTAAGTTATTTTCAACTAAAAGTTTACATAGTGGATTAGACACCTGTTTTCATACAAAATTTGCTTTCTCAGGGTCAAGAACCTGGAAGCAGTGAAAATCTAAAGGTATATGACCATGACCGAGAGAGGATCTTCACTATAAGTTAGCAAGACAGATTGAAGAACTGAGGGAAAATGGGGAAACCACGAGTGATTATTCAAATTATTCTAGAAAGAATTATTGTCCTTTAGAAAGAAATTGGTATGGTTTTTGCGCCGTTTTAGTTTGAAAACGGTTATAGACTTTGCCCATTTTGGTCTGAAATCGGATATGGTTTTCGAGGGAGATACACGGTGGTGTTTTATGAATATATTGACCGATTGGTTCCGAATGAACGAGAAATAAAACCATAATATTATATGCGAATATGGAAATGAATTTTAAGAAATCTTTTTGTTGGCGTTGATACCATACTCTACTGCACCACCAAGAAAAATCCATGTCTTCAATAATGAATATAATTCGTTTTCCTTTTCTTGCCCTGATTTCCCAGCTGCAGCTTTGGTTAGTTGAATAATGTCTGGGATAGAAAGGACTGGTGATGACTCCTGAAATTTCATTCAAAGTTGTCATATTTGGACAGACCGTAAAAAAACATTACACATTTATTTTTTTTCCGAGCTTGTGAGCGGGAGGAATCCTCCAAATCTTACAATCTGATTGGTTCCGAGAGCGGGCGGTATTTTACGATCTTGCCCGCTAACCCGTTTGTGAATGAGCAAAAACCGTCATTTTCACGATGACACTGGCGATGCACTGTGCCCGCCCCCGGAGGGAGGCAAAGTGTCGCTGTGAGCTTTGAGCGACCGTTAATTACGTCACGTCCAAGAGCCCGGTCATACGTATCCCGAGAAAGAAAGCTCTGATGGAAAAAGTTTAAAATCAAGCTTTTCGCTAGCGGTTATGATAAAATCTGAGACTCCCATGAGAAGCATATCATAGAAGGGAAAGACAAATTAGCGACAGATCCTTTGACGGTAATTTTGGCTAGTTTGGACCAATTTTATTGGATTTATGGAGCTTTGAGCTGGAACGGTCGGCTTCAGAGTCCCCAGCCTTCCCATTTTTGTTACTGTTAGCACAACTCAAAACCTTAAACGTCGATAAAACGGCTTCCAAATGGCTCTAGAGGTGAAGAGACAGTAAATAACAAAACACAAACACAAGGTAAGTCATTTTTATTTCTATTTTTGTCCAAAATTGGGATTTAGGACGTATTTTGTTCATTTTCATACATTCTCTTATAAATTCAAAGTCCAACGAACTCCACAGAGTTCGGGCTGCCTGTGCGTTTATTGGACAGTTTTCTTCTGTTTGAAGTTTTGTTTTCCATTTTTATTGTAAGAATCTAGATTCTGCCGTTTTTTATTGAATTTTTGCCTCGCTAGTTTTCTACTTATCAGAAAAAGTTGTTTTCAATGATTGCATTTAGCCTTCAATCTTCAATAAACAACACGAATCATTTTTCCAGCAGTCGGTAATCGCCGTTTTCATTTCTTTATTTATAACTTGCATTGGGCTATTGCATTTAATATCAACCTTCCCCCCCCCCTTCCGCTCCAGGTTGAGGAACCATGGAATTCTTCAGGGGTACGTTATACAAATTGAGGATTTCTTTAGGGGTAGAGTAAAAAAATATGGAATTCTTTGGGGGTGAAGCCTTCTTTTTCAC